GCATTTGCCAATTTTATTCTGGGGCAAGTGGATAAGCCGATGCCTCTTGTAGTCCCGGACATGCTGGCAACAGTATGCACGCAGATGCGAGGGGGCGAAGCACAGTGCATTGCAGATCATTGTGGAATTTGCCCTAGCAACCATGCCTTCCTATACATGGCAAGGTGCCCCTATATTCCGACGAGGTTGGTAGGCTTTACACTTATCCAAAAACCAAGAAGCTTCCAACAGCAGAGTCCTCTGCATTTGAGTTTTGTTGGGGTTCAATGCCAATCTCCGTTTTACTGTTTTGCTCCTGGGGATAAACCTCAGCTGTTGAACATCCCTTGAAAGCCATCCCTCAAGGCTCGGTCTCTCTCGTGGTAGAAGAAGAGACGAGTTCACCCGGACCTGAGGCTCTGACTCAGGCGGCACATGCACGAGGCATGTACATCCTAGTTGCCCGGAAGCCCAGCGGACCAAACAGAATATTCTTTTTTTTGGCGAGTGGGGCGGGGGGGGGGAAGTTGCGAGCTTACCTGCAGAATATGTATATCGTATATATATATATATATACACTCTTAGATTATGGCGAGTTGGGGTGGTAATTTGCGAGCTTGCCATGATGTAGGTCCTTCACTCTTTCTGGGATGTTTTATTGTTTTCTTCTACACTCAAGTTGTTTTTCTTACACACTAAGACCAAAAGATCTCTGCTGGGCGTGACCATCCGAGGGGGTGCATATTGAGTCCTTCGATCCGCGTGGGCATGACGCCGACTATTCCGCGTGGCTTGTGTCTGTTTCGGACCAAACGGATCTTTCCGACAGAGTTGCCCTTTGAATGTCCGCAGCAAACAGTTTTATGGCACAAATCAAAGAACACATCGACACATCCACTTTGAGCGTGAGCCAGGTGGAAGGCTAGGGTGATGCAACGACTGAATATGACTGCAGTTGGCAGTCTTGCAACTGCGCCAGATATCCATCAGCACTATTTAGAACACTTCGGGCGACAGGGGCTCTACAAGAAAGTGCTTTGGATTTCGAGGGTTGAGATGAAAGAGACGTGATCAATCGCGCTTGGCACAGGACATGTTGAATTATGTCTTGGATGTGCAATCTCGCGTTAGCTTCTGAAGTTGAGAAAAGTACATTCATCCAACCACCAAGACGGGGGCTATTCACATCGGTTAATACACAGCGCAGGGCTGATTTTGCTGGGTCTTTTGAGCCCGACCCTGGCGTTTCTCGTAACTTGATTGGACGGAGGGAGGGAAGGGGGGGGTGGAAATCTGCTGGGTGCACATGTTGTACCGGACAAACAGGTTGGCGCGCAAACCATCATAACTCGCGGCTGGCAAGCTGGCAGACCATTGCAGCTCAACAGGTGCGGCTCGGCCGACTAAACTTGGAGGTTTTTGTCGGGCCCTGCTTTGGGTTGTAGCCGGGCGCAAAAAGAAGCCTGAAATGAACCAGGTCAGCTTGCGTTTGCCTTTACACACAAAGAAGCACCTTGCCCCTGCTGCGTATTCATTTTGATCACTTGCCAATCAGGATGTGGTTATGAACCACATGGGAAACGAGTTCTTCTTTGAGGGCCACTCGACTGATACGGCCGGCGACTGAGCCTCCGGGAGAGACGGACCTCGGAGTGGCTCTGCTTGTCATCTTGAGAGAGTGGAGGGTTCCACCTTCACAGCGAGGAATTTTGGTCACAGGCTGCACCAAAGTAGTGTTTTGGTTATCCAAAAACGAGGGAGGCCTCCGCATGATGGGGTCATATCCATATGTTTGCCATATGTTTGCCCTTTGCAGACACATACCGACGATGATCATCCCTGCCCAAATTTCTGCGATCCATGGGGCATCAGGGACTTTCCAGGAGCCAATCATCCACTGCAAAGCGGCGAGGAGGAAGCCACCGGTGATCTATTGCCATGATTCCCAAGAGCACGACATGCTGCTGTTCGGTCGTCCCCAAAAAACAGCCAGTGGCCCGCAAATCCAGTTTGCTACCTACTTGAGTGTTCTTAAGCTAGTAGGTTTTATAATGACCTACTTATAAGCCCCCCCAAGTGGCGTTAACCCTGTTCTTAGTGGCTTGTAACCCAGCGGAACCACTTCCCCAACCTGGTCGACATCCAACCACTGGGGCCCCGGAAATCCTAGCCAAGGGAACCAAATCCGCTCAACGGTCCAAATCCGCTGCCTGGCCAGGCCCCCTTCCGCTTTCATGAAAATCACGGTCTGCGAGAGTACCGGCCCGATGCCTAAGACGGACGCAGGGAGAGGAGGATGGCGATGGTCGAGTGAAGTGGCGGTTCCATTTGGCTGTGGATCAAAATTAAACCGAGGGGGGGGGTACGCAGGTTTTGGTCCATGTTTCCACTTACCAGGGTTCCATTTTGGTACCGGTTTTTTGAGCCACACCCATTTTTTGGCTTGGTGTAAAGGGGAAAGCAACAGGAATGTCCTCCATTATTTTTGTTGTGTCCTGTTTTGACTCCTACCCGAGGGATAGCCCCAACCCTTCAGGACATTCGGAGAACGTGGCGAGCCTTCTCAGAGAACCATCGCCTTGGATTGACGGAGATTTGGCAATGGCACTTCAGTCCTTCAGTTGTTTTCGCGAGGGTCAGCTACAATAATGCAGGCTCGGACACTGCTGTTTGTGTGGGTTTTCGGGTTTTCGGGTTTGGGCCCTTTCCTTGTTACGCCTGCGTGTGCTATTTCAATTCTGCATTCTTTGCCAACCCATGAATTGTTCAAGTTTAAGTGCGACCATATAACAGACATAACCATCCCCCACAAACGACAGAGCTCTTCTTATGGCGTGTATGGTGCACGAATTCGTCTGCCCATTCTGGCCTTGCGAGCAACGGCTGCCTGCGACGGGAAACCCATGGGCGATCAGGTCGAAGCATGGCTCGGGGACGTGTAGTGGTCGTATGTCTACCGGTGTCGAGATGGGTAAACAGAAGGCTGCAGTTTCCGCAACTCGCAGGCAAACAGTTGTGCACTACATAATAGTGGGGCAGGGTCTAGGTCGCTCATCCGGTAACTTTCCGTCATTTTCCGTGAATTTTCGCACCTTCCCACCTTGAGAACGAGTTCCCAAAGCAGTGGTTTGACTGCACATCGGCGCGCACTCAGAAACGCGAGGCTCATCCCGCGGAGGAGCAGCCGGCAGCTCTACGACACCCCGGCGCATGTCTCGGATTTGAAGCTGGACTGAGTTGAGCAGGGGCCATCTCTATACGGGTTATTCGCTTTTCGCGTCATTTATGCACCACCTCTTGGGCCACTTGCTAAACGATGTTTCTCTTGTTGGGGTGATGCTATTTACCTGCTGTGCTCAGTAGGGAATGTGGGAATGAACCCGGGGATTCCCTTTATGCAAACCGCAAGTTTATACGCCACCTCTTGGGCCACTTGCTAAATGACGTTTCTCTTGATCAAATGATGCTTAAAGGGGACATATATAAGGAACCATGCTGAGCAGCACGCACAACCCCATGGTAAAGTGCATTTGAGCAGGTGTGGAATAGTTGAATTTGTGTTTGACCCTGCATAAGCCTTTATGAGCATCCTTGTAGAACTAAGAGTCGATTAGTTTGCGTGCGCTGCTTATCTGGGGTTGAGCATATGGTTTGTTTCATGTTTGTTCCCGCTCTCCAAAAGGTCTGGACAGTGGTGGCCAATCAAATGACGCGCCTGAACCGCGTTGAACTTTGGACAACACACATTTGAGCATCATCCTACTTGTGCATTTCAACGTTGGCCAACATAAAGCAAGCAACATCATCCACGAATCAGATTGAGACAACGGCATAGAATCAAGCAAGAATATCTACACAGTATGAGATTGACCGGGCACAACTCCAAACATGCCATTGTGTTGGCTGCTGCCAGGTCTCCAATTCAGCAACACCGGTTGTTCCCCCTCAACCCTACTCGGACAGGATGACTTTGAGCATGGTCAAATGAGGGCCAGTCAGACTGACCATGGCATTCAGTTGGCTTGGCCGCTCTTTGGTGTGATTTTTCAATCTATTGGTTAAACTTAATCGCAAGTTTCCCAATTAAGTATCAAACTGCTTAACTTTCCGGAGAGCACCAAATGGCGGAGCTGACGTGGCCGATCCGGTCAGCATGTCAAGACATGTGTCCGAAACTGGGCAACCCCTTTCCAGTTGAGTCGAGATAAGCAAAGGTAAACCAACCATTTGCTTGTTGGTCCAGTCGATTCAGTCCACTTGGTGGTTTTTTTTCCAGCAAAAAAAAGACCCGTGGAACTGGCGAAGCTGGCTTGACCTTGGTTCACCGACTCGCTGAAGCAGACCTGTGGAGCTTTCTGGCGCTTGAAAGTGAGATCAAAGAGTGCAGGTAGACCATCAAAACGGGGTTTTGCCCCAAAATCATGGGGTGATGACGCTTTTTCAGGATAGTTTGAAACTCCAGGTAGCTAAAAACAAGGCACAACTGCCTGAAGAACAGTTGGCGTATTTTGAGCCAGGGGGTATCAAGCACCCATGAAGCTTGCATGAAGGCGGGCCTGCGATTGCAGGAGACCCTGATGCAAGGGGATGGGGTCAAAGAGGAGGCGAAGCGGACCAAAGATTTCCGAGCACCATTTTGCTATCCTTCGTGCTGTTTTGCTGGCCCTTTGGAGTGCCCATGAGGAAAACAAAAACACAGACTTCATGCTTCATGCCGATGCTTTCCCCTGGAATCGGGGCTTAAAAGGCACCTGCCGTGCATCGTTCGAGGCTTTTGGGGTACCCTACTCCCTTTTGTGTGGTTGCAAAGGACGTCCAAAAGAAACACCCATCATTTTTTGGGTCCCCAACAACAAAAACACATCCCCGACCCGCCGCGTTAAGTTGAACAATCGGCTTGTCTTCTTTGTTTTTTTGGGGGGGTCTTAAAGAAAGACGAGGCACCCATACACAGAAATCAATAAGAGGCGACACTCGCGAAGCCGATGGACAAGCGGGGTTCTCCTTGTTCCCCTGAGCACATGTCTGGCACTGAGGCCGGAAAGCAACCGTACATGGATTTCTGGTACAACAACACATGGGCGGCAGAGGCACAGTCCGACGGGGCGGTCAGGTCTCTCAGTGGTACTTCCCTGTTGGCTTCTGTTTTGGTGACTACGTCCCCCAGTAACGCCCTTTTACCCTTTTTGGGGGAGGGTTTCCCTATTAAAATAGACTACAGAAAACAGGGTACCCTTATTCTAACCTCTCTACTGGAGGACCTAGGTGATACCAGGTTTCATGGGAATGGAGCTCAGTCACTTGAGGCAAACATGAATGGCTTCCCTTCAGAACCCCCTGATAAGCGCAAGTCATGCCCACTGATGATAGACATTTGATACCACAGGCTGTAACCAATATACTGTGCTACACCGGGGCATCAAGCAAGACATGTGGCCCAGAGTGTCATCCATCAGCAATCAAATCATCCTTGTTCAACGGCATCTCACCTCTCCATGCTAGTTATGTTTGGCCCTTCAACACCAGCCATGATTGGATAGGGCGGAAATTCCTGCTGGTGCCTTTACCTGTTGGTAGAGGATCGAGCCAACTTGCATGTGATGGGCCAGGGCAGTGTCATGGGACAAACATGCAGTACGACCAAACCTACACAGTGGCTTGACAAAGTGTCTATGGCTGTTGGGAACCCTGTGCATCGCATCAGCTGCGATGCTGATACCCTTGACAGATGCGCAGTGACGGGCTCAGTGCAAGCTAACATGCCACGGTTGACGACTTGTACTTGGGCGTTCGGTCAAGTTCGCAGATTGTTGGCACCCTAGGTTATGACCCACTTATAAGCATTCTTGAGGGGGGTGAACCCGGCCGCGAGCGCGTTATATCCCAGCTTGCCCAGAATCGCAAAAAAACAATTCGAAAAATCCAGGCAGCCCCTGTTGACCACCTCCAGCTATGGAGGATGAGCTGCTGTTTTTGGGCTTGGCCAGCCTTCGGCGTGGAATTTCTGAGGCAATGAACAGGTGACAGGAGTAGCAGCTTTCGAGAGGTGCATGGCAATGGAGAACTTTCTTGTGGGTCTGTCTTCTTTTTGGAGCTGGTAACCCCCCTTGTTTGCTGGTTTTAAGGGGAAACCAAGATGAAACCACCACAGCTTTGGGGGTCCGACTCCTAAAAGAAGAACACACCCATGTAAGTAGAAATACATGGGGTGTCAAACTATTGTACCCTGGCCAATGGTTTTCAAACACGGCAAATGGGGTACTGGTTCTGACGTATCCGGCCAGGCGCAGTATGACAGCCCCTTGTACGGCCAATATGGCGAAGTGCTTGCCCTAGCCGGACAGTGCAGAATCATCCTTGCTCGACGACTGGTTTTGGACCAACCAGATAGGGGGCTCTCAAATTCTAGGGGTCGCTTCCAAGCATTATTTTCAATCATAGCAAAGAAGAAACACAAAAAAAAACGATCGACGTGTGTTTTCCGTGGGTTTGCGGAGGTTTTCTAGAAAGAAGGATCCCTGGATGAATGGGGAAGGTGCCCCTAGAAAAGTAGTGGACCCCTTTTTTTGGTAGTCAAATGGAAACCAAGAGGAAGCCAACCGGACGGCGATTTTGAGAAACGCCCAGATATGAACACATGGAACGGGGGTGTAGCGAGGGGGACCACTGCAGTTTCACCTTTTCCATCATTGCAGCATGCTGTTGCGTCCTGTTTTGGCTGTGCTGAGAATGTCCTTGCTTCTGATCCCTAGGTCCCCCCGCTAGGTGCCCTTTGGCCGTTTCTTTTTTGGGGGAGGGTTCCCCTAACATAAACGTCCTGACAAAAGTTGGTACCCTTATTCTAACCTCGTAGTGTCATAGCCCAGCACGATCGATCCCGGCAGGGCGAAGGGATCGATGCATGAATGCTGCCTCAATTTTCGATCTGTGCGGCACACTCTATTCTCTCCCCCTAATCGTTCATGGCCTACGGGGTCAGATTTTGGGAAAGGTTTTGGGGTGGAGAAGTTTCTGCTGCTGGTGCTGCGAGGGCTGGTGCTGCGAGGGCTTTCGAGGTGGAAGCCGTGCGGCCAAATGATGCATCCACCCAGTACTACTCTACAACATGGGTGCGTCTGGTTTTTGAGGGACCCCCCCCCTCCCCCGCTTCTGGTGATTTTTCAAAGCACGCCAAAGGAACATCACCTTCCTTTTTTTTGGCCCGGGGGGGGGGAGGGGGCAATCTAAAACATGTCATCCCCAATGAACCATCCCCGCGACGGCTGAGGCTGCCTGGGATCAAGGCTACGGGACCTATGAAGGCGAGCAAGCGAATGGAAGAGGCTGAGAGGTTTTTCTGGCCATGGGTCAAAATCCAAAATTCCGTAGCCCCAAGTGAACATCCGATTCAATCCAACCACTAAAATAGGAAGCCTAAAACGGGTGGTGAATTCACCGACCAACCAAAATGGTAGCATTGGTTTTGACCCACAGCCATATTTCGACCACTCGGCCGAAAGGAACCATAACCATGACTGACCCAAGGAGCTTTAACACTACCTCTGGTTTTGTCAGAGGTTTGGTAAGCCAAGCATACCCATTGCCTGGTGCAGGTTTGGTATTGGCACAAATTTAGGAAGGCGCTCTGAGGGCAATTGTGTGCTTTTGAATTAACATGATATTGGAAGTGAGCCTGTGACGCACTGTGGCCGCTCCTGTTCAGCGCTCCGCGTTTCAGGTTTGTCACCGCAGCGGGGTCAGCATGGGGCATTGGCCATAGGGTCACTACCCAGCAACAGTCAAATCAAGCTCTGTCTTGATGGTACATTCGTTTACAGATCCATCGACCTTTGTTCCGCATGTGCGTTATGTGTTTTCTGAATTGGAGCCCCGCAAAAGGGGTTGGTTTTCTTGTTTCTCTTCAAATACATTGTGTGGTTTCTCAATTGGAGCCCCCGTCGGTTTTTTCTTGCGGTTTCTCTTCAAATACATTGTGTGGTTTCTCAATCGGAGCGCCCCCCAAAAAAAAGGGGGTTGTTTTTTTTGGTTGTGGTTTGCCTTTAAGTACGTTATGTGGGATCTTTTTGGTTTCTCTTCAAATACTCGCCGGGTTGAGCCGCCCAGATCGGGCAACACGGCCGTGAGCTGCCAGGCTCAGACTTTCACCACAACGGGGACCTGCAGAACTACGCGGATCCCTGGGAGATCAACGCCACTCGGCCGAGAAGAAAACGGAACTCGGTGGAGTCGTCGGTCTCTGTGTCGCCTTTTTTGGTGCATCAAGCGGCCATTTGAAGGGGTCCAAGTCTTGGCAGCCGGCTCTTGCCCGCTTCTTGACTTCGGCTGGTGATGCATGGGCGGAGACTCTGGGAGCATGTGGGCGTGCAGTTGCAACATCTTCGCAGTTTGCCTTACCGGGTAGGCCCCCTGCCCCCCGAACTTGCCGCAAAGACCGGCTTAAAGAAGTTGCCCGTGTCGGAGGGAGCCTTTATAGTCCAAGACTTCTTTCTGAATGTGCCCAAATGTGTCCGGGACTGAAAGGTCGCAAGATTTCAACGACCTGTTTTGGCTTTGGATGAATTGAGCCCAAGCAAAGGAGACCAGCCATTTGGAGGCTCTTGATTTCGACAGGTTCCCGCTCGGGAAAGGGCTCAAGGATGGACATCTGCCGGAGGGCTAAGCCACAGGGAAAAAGAAAGATGGACGGAGCAATCGGGGTGGACCCAATAGGTCTTTTAGAACTCAAAAACGTTTTGACCTTAAGGTCCCCCCTTAAGCTCCCCCTTAAGGTCCCCCTTTAAGGTCCCTTTGCACAAAGGTCTCGGCCCGTTCAGAGGCGGAGGACACATCTCTTCTCAGCTTAGATCCCCAAAAGTGGGCCTTCCGGCTTCCGCTCCGAGGTGGCCAAGATCTATGGCACCATGGACGACTTGAGGCTTGAGCACCGCCGGGTGCAGGCGCGCGTTTGCAGATTTTGCAGAAGCTCGGGGGTTAGCTGGCAGGGGTTGCCTAACGTTGCCAATTGCTCGGGGCAGGGGGCAGAGTTTTTTTTTTCTTTTTTTTTTTTTTTTTTTTTTTTTTTTTTTTTTTTTTTTTTCTTGTGAAGCTCCAGCTTTATATAGTGGATGAATAATCCTTTTTATCATCGTTCATTCCTACTTCACAGTTTCGTTGGTCTCTTTGGGCTACCTCCTCTTTGAAGTGTGGCGCTTGCTCTTGTATCAGCGCAGACGCCACTACGAGGTCTTAAGTTTGGCCCGTGCCAATATGATCAGGTTTTGCACCAACACGCTTAAAGGACATCAATTTATGACATCTGCCATTTGGTGGGGCCCCTTTTGATGCCTTCTCAGATAGTGCCCAACTGGGAAGACTTCTTTGGGGCGCCGTCCAAGCAGCCCTCTCTGGCCCTCTTTGACCCGTGATGTTGACCTTTCGAGTACCTGAGTACTATCAATGTACCTTTTAGCTTATTTTTCGCCTTTTGGGCTGTAGTCACTTTTTGGGTGACCGGATTTGAGTGGCAAACAACAAGGTTTAGACGTTGTTGGGCCAGTCCACGGGGGAAGTGAGTTGGGCCGGAGCAAGTTTCCCTTGGGATCATGAGCGATCATGAGGAAATCTTGGGAGGTCGGACAGAAAAGAAGCGGCGAGCTTTAACTATACCTGGCATAGATCCAACATTGATAGCAAAATGCTCACAATTCTCCTCATGCAGGAATAATAGGAACATGAACTGTATTTTCAGGAGGATCTTTAACTAGAATGTCGATTTTTGCTGCACCCTTGGCATCACGAGGAACCTCCGCAAATTGGACGGAACGAAGAGAAGCGGCGATTTTTGGGCTGGCAGGACAAGTACATCGCCATGACGGAGGCGCTCATCGCCAGCACGGATGTGGACGGCTTCCGTGTGGACACCCCCATGCAGGTCCGGGCGCAAAGCTCTCTCGGTTTGGAGGTTCGAGAGGGGCTGGGAGATCCAATTATTTGTGCGCATCCCCCCCCAAAAGCACGCATCTGTGATTTTTTTGTTTAGGCCACCTGAGAAAAGTACGTGGCCCCTCGTAAAACTGCGAGATGCACATTCAATGAGGCCACTTTGACAAAGAACAAGTCAATTCTTTCAAATGGGTCCATTGCAAATATCACTGAAACAGATCACAAGCTTGGACTTTCCGCGCTGCGGCATCCCGAGTACTCACAAGTGAGGTAGACGCGCCTCCAAAAAGACCGGCGAGGGTCTCAGAGAGAGCACTTGCGCCAGGTGCCGCTGCCTTTCTACAAGCGCTGGGCCCGGAACCCAACGCCGGCGGTGATGGGTTCTTTTCGATCAGTTGTTCGGTGGCACCGATTCTTTTACCCTTTTTTTGGCGGCTGCCCCGCTAAAAGTGGCTTCCCCAAAAAGGGTTCCCTTCTTTCCCAGGGCCACTGAACAACTGAGTTTCGAGCAGGGTTGTGGGATCAAGCGGTTGATCCAAGCACTTCTGTCGATACAAGTTGGAATCTCCCCCAGTTTTACGGCAGCTTTGTCTTTGGGAAGCCCATTTGGTTGTATCACAGGAGTGGTCGTTTCCCACGGGTCTGGTTTCGATGGATGGCCGCCGGTTTGATTCGGATCTGAAACGAAGGGTTTTTTCTCAACCGAATGTTTGTGAAGGAGCCTTGATGACTCTTTACGAGCCATGCCGCCTACAGTACTTGTTCACACATAGACTCCCCAAGGGTCCAGGTTGAACAGATGCTCTTCCTCGAAAATACGTCTCCAGCTGACTGATTTGAAGGGGGCTAAATCTCTCACATTGCATCTGCCTCAGCGCAACAGGCTCCACGGATAACTGGCATCTCATGTGTCATGGTTTTTGTTTTCCCGTTTGCTTTCCAAATGGTCTTGACCAGGCTTGGTGGGAGACCAACCATTTAGGTGATGTAAACAGGAAGCCGAGGGGAAGCCAGATTTTTCACCGTGGCGATGTCGCAACCGTGTTGCAAGCTGCATGGCCAATTGCCCCGCGGCCGCTCGCGGCTTGCGCGAGGCACCCGCAATTCGCAAATACGCCCAATCCGTCGGCAAGGCGAGTTTTGGGCGGAGATGTCACGGGGCGGGGAGCGGGGTCGACCATAGTGAGCTTTGAGCGTTTCACCCCCCTTCAAACCACAAGGGTTTTGAACAAGCAACACCGTGTATTGACTTTTCTTCCTGGTGCGATAGGCAGGGAATGAGGGAATGACCCCTGTAAACCATCCCTTTTGGTTTCCTTAAAAGGGATTCCCCAGGTTCGTGCCCTCATTCCCTACTTATCGCACCAGCAAGTTTTGCACCGGCTGAAACAGCAATCCGTGGGATTTCATGGTGCTTTCAGTTTGGACGTCCCGGACCCTTGCTATGCAACCGATGCGGGGATGTTGGCTCGGGAGAGAACAAAAATCGAAGAGCTACTCATTTGATGGATCATGGGAGCTGTTCTCCCGATTGTGTGTGTGTGTGTGTGACACATACGGGGTTTGATCAACAGGTCCTTTTGGGGATGACCTTTGGGGAAAGCCACTACAATCATATGGCTGTGGCTCAAAATTAAACAGGAGGGGCAAACCGCGGGTTTTGGTCCATGTTTCCACTTACCAGGGTAACCCATTTTGGAATTCCGGTTGTTGAGCCATACCCATATGTCAACCACATGGGAAAAGTTACCCATCATGCGGCCGATCGGAATATTGATCAACCCCAGCTTTGATCCGCTGGTTCAGTCCGCTGGACTCGACGTTGTTCATGGATGAATGCCCGGCCACCAGACTTGAACCATAGATTCTGGGGGCGAGGAAATTGACAAAAGTTCATGTTCATGTTGCTCAGCTTGCACCCAAGGCTTGCATTGAACCACTCAAATGAGGCGTCTTGCATGCATCCTTGCATGCAATGTCCTCGAAGGAATGTGCTCGTGCAGAAACCCAACTTTTGGCGATCTTACAGAGTCGGTTTTCAAAATCAAAGCACTCCATTCAGGCTTACACAGGGTATATAAAGAGACCTTCCCATCACTCGATCAAACTAGCCCGAAACAACGCCTTTTTCTACGCGTGTGCACACTGCGGGTGCTCAGGAGCGTTTCGGTATCTTCGGCGAGTTCTACGTGCAGATCGAGCGCTATGCAACCATGACAGGCGCACGAAACGACTCTGTCTTGAAAAGTTCAAAATTGCCAGAGCTGTTCTTGCGGCGCCCCAAAGCATAAGTTGAACTCGAAGTCAAGTAGAATTGCTTCATTTAAGCTTGATCCGGCTGAGTCAACATAAATTATGCACAGAGTCGGAGCCAGAAAACATATTGCCCAAATCGGCGTTGTTCCTGAAATGCATCGCTTGCGCTTGCGGATTCGCATTTCCTTTTTTGGAGCACGAATCGAGCATGCGGTATCCGGAAGACACAGGGGAAAGGCTGGTATGACGTGCAGGTGCAGACAAGGACACGGTTGGAAAGGGCACACAGGGATTTGTGCGTTTTTGCCACTTCTGTCTTCCTCTCTCTCTGTCGCTGTTTTTTTTTTTCTCTCTCTCTCTCCCTCTTTGTCTCTCTCTGTCTCTCTCTGTCTCTCTTCCTCTCTCGCTGGTTTCCATTGTGGGTAGATCGCATCAAAGCGTGTATCAACGGGTGCAGAGGTTGCGGGACGATGGTGTTGTAAGAATGGACAAGGTATTGTTTGCGAAGAATGGGAAATGGACCCTTTGGCACTGGTTGCTTTGCTTGCTTGTTGCCTTGGTTGCTTGGTTACTGGGTTGCTTGGTTGTTTGGTTGCTTGGTTGCTTGCTTGCTTGCTTGGTTGGTTCGTTGGTTGCGTGCTTGCTGGCTGGCTTGCTTGCCTTGCCCTGCCTTGCCCTGCCTTGCCCTGCCTTGCCCTGCCTTGCCCTGCCTTGCCCTGCGTTGCCCTGCCTTGCCCTGCCTTGCCCTGCCTTGCCCTGCCTTGCCCTGCCTTGCCCTGCCTTGCCCTGCCTTGCCCTGCCTTGCCCTGCCTTGCCCTGCCTTGCCCTGCCTTGCCCTGCCTTGCCCTGCCTTGCCCTGCCTTGCCCTGCCTTGCCCTGCCCCTGCCTTGCCCTGCCTTGCCCTGCCTTGCCCTGCCTTGCCCTGCCTTGCCCTGCCTTGCCCTGCCTTGCCCTGCCTTGCCCTGCCTTGCCCTGCCTTGCCCTGCCTTGCCCTGCCTTGCCCTGCCTTGCCCTGCCTTGCCCTGCCTTGCCCTGCCTTGCCTTGCCCTGCCTTGCTTGCTTGCTTGCTTGCTTGCTTGCTTGCTTGCTTGCTTGCTTGCATGTTGGTTTGTTTGTCGTTTTTCTGAATGTCTTCCTTCCTTCCTCTATTTCTTCCTTCTTTCTTTCCTTCTTTCTTTCTGTCTTTCTTTTCTGTTTTGTTTGCTTCTTTTCCCTCGTTTCCGCAGGCCGCGGGCGCGACAACAGCATGTACGGCCAAGACCGCTTCCTGCCGGGCGAGGCCACCCTGAAGGGCGGCATCGTGCAGCTCGGGCCAAGGGGCAAGGGGCGGCTAGCCAGGGGCTGCGGCTCAGCCAACCCACGGCGACGAGGTTTGGGGGGGATGGTTTTATGCCTGGGTCCCCCAGTAGTGCCCTTTTACCGTTTCTTTTTTGGGGGAGGGTTCCCCCACTAAAATAGACTACAGAAAAAAGGGTACCCTTAAGGCGTCTGGCTCCAAGGTCTTTCGCCTCTGGCCGCCACCCCTCGCTGCCCCTGCCCTTTGCCTTTTTGGCTCCTGTGCGTGCTTGGGCTTCTGCGGTGTGGCTTTGGCTCTCTGCCATGCCATGTTGACGCGTGACCCCCTTGTCTTGCGTGCTTTGGGCTCCTTGTCGGACCGTGCTCTTGGCTCCCTCGATGGTTTGATCGAGCAGGGCACTTTCTTCCAGAGTGCCGAACCTCTCATGTGGCATGGGCAAGCCTTGCTTCAGTTCCGGGTCGATACCCAAACTGGTGATTCCACCTGGGAGTGTTCCTTTTCTCTCCTGGCCTGCCGCCTGACTTGCATGCTACTCCACGTGCTCGGCGCCTTCTCTTCACGTTTGAACTCCGGGCTCCTAGCTTCTTTCAGGCCCTGTTGCAGCCGGGTGAGCAGCACTTTCGTGCCTTTGGGGTCACCTTGCAACCTGGCACCCTCCCCCGCGTGGCCCGGATTGAGGAGGATACGGCCGTATGGAGGATCGGGAGCCCCCTGCCGGCTGAACCGCTCTCGGTCACCCACCTCTTTGCTGGCGCTTTTCATGGTTGGGGCCAGGCCCTCGAATGCATTAGCAGGTCCCTTGGCCTTGAGGTTGCCCATGAGGTCCTGGTGGACAACTCCCCAATTGTGGTTTCAGCCCAGGCGGCCACCTTGGACATTGAGGCGGTGCAGTTGCAACGGATGTCCAGCTGGGTCCCCACCCCTGCGCATGTGGCTGTCCTGGCCGATGTTGGCGACACTTCGCTCCTCCACGTCGTTTCCTGGACTGATTGCCACGTGGCCACGGCCTCTCCTCCCTGTCCCCCTTGGTCTCGAGCCTCCTCCCGGGATGGCCTGGAAGTTCCCGCAGGCGTTTGCTTCCTGGAGACCATGTTGTGGTTGGCACTGTTGATGGAGTGTGTGGACGCTCTCCCTGTGCACCCTCACTACCCCATCATCCTGGCCTTCATCCGATGGGCTGGATTCGCTGTGCTCCATAACAGATGGCTTGCTGTTCTAATCCGCCATGATGTTGATCTGCCGCCCTCCCAGCCTGTTGGACTCTTCCAGGATCCCTCTCCGGTCCCTTGGACACATGAGTCCTTCCAGGTTCAGGAAGCCCCTGAGATGGACCACGCTCGGCTTCTAGATGCGGCCACCCTGCCGTACTACACCAATCCTGCATATCTTGCCGGGGCAGGACTTGAGAGCTCGCGTGATGTCCTACTGAGTCGCATCCCTTCTCCCGACGCTCCTCTGCGCACTCTTTGTGCCAGGTACAGCCAACAGCATCTGCTGGCTGCGGACACACTTGCCCCAGCTCACTCACCTTGATGAGCGGCCTGCCTTCCTCTCACCTGCCCAGTGGGCTTTATGGCTGGGTGCCACTCGTCCACTGGTACTTCTTCCACCCTTGGAGGATGTGTTTGCTGGTCTTGGCCATTTCGGTCCCTCAAGCGGCCATCCCATGGGCCATCATGTTGAGCCTCTTTGGGCTTGTGTCGCATGAGCCCGAGCACCTTGTGCTGCAGGTTTGGAGGAGTCGCATGTGGGGTCCACAACTCCACGCTGCCCTTGTCAGGGGTTGGTACTACATCCACCCACAGGTTGCACAAAGGGCTAACCTTCAAAGTCCTCCCATTGTGGTCCGAGAGGAGGCTTACCCCCTCCTCTACTTTGCCTACCGCCTGGGCGTTGCCCGCACTGCCATTTACTCACCGGGCGGATTTCGGGTTGAGGTTACCTATCCTGTTGGTGCCACTGTTGCCCTGGTTCTCTTCACTGCCCGCGTGCCACCTGTGGTCTTTCCCCATGTTGCTCTCTCCTCTATTGCCAGAGTGTGGGATCTTCTTGAGCCGGCCCATGACCTCACTGGTCACATCCTCACTGTTGTTCCTGCACAGGAACCCGAGGAGTTGGAACCACAACCTGCTCCGGTCCCAATATTCCCTCCCCAGGTCACTGTCCACTTCCACGACCCACTACGGAGGGAACACTCTAGGAGTGTCCCACAACACGTCACTCTCCGGCAAGTCATCTGGACACTCCCCCTACCTGACCGCCTTCTCATGCACGTGCGACCCTACATCCAGGGGCGTGGTGTCCCCGACACAGACCCTGTCAGCCGCTGGCAAGATGCTCATGTCACCTTGCGCTTGTTTCCCTTGCCTGGAGGAGGAGCTGGCTCACGCTCTCCCGCGCTTTCGGAGCCACCTTCGGAGGATGAAGAGATGGTCCCTGAGGACCCCCTTACCCGATGCGACCCGTGGGCCTCCCCCCCGGGCCTCCCTGGCCCTATGCGGTTCTCCACTCAACAGGAACCCCCAAATGGGAGGATCTTTTGCTCCCCCCCTCCCATGCCTTTGGGCTCGTTGGGGATGATGAAGTCCCTGCTCTGGTCCCGAGGCCAACTTGGACCGCTGGTGTCTGGCCTGGCCTTCTGCCCTGTCAGTGCTCTCGCTGAAAGCCTCCGCCTGCAGGTTGTTGGCCCCACTGCCCTCATTGTCCCGGGCAATTCCAGAACCACTCTGCCTTCCCTACCTTCCCACCTGGCGGTTGAAGGGCCCATGCAAATCAGTGTTCTTGATGTTCAGGCCGGGACCACTTACAAGCGCCAGGTCATCCTTGTCCATCTGATTCCCGGTATTGTCTACCGGCCTGTCACTGCTGATGCTGTCATCATTGACACTGATGACTTTGTTGAGCTATGTCGGACCTTCGTGGCATACTCGAAGGCTTCCTCCCTGACGGTGCTGTGCAGTCCTGCTACGCCCTCAGAATCCTGCAGGGCTCTCCGCACGGTCTCGGCCGAGTCTTTCAGATCACTCTGAAAGTCCCACTCCGGCTTCGCCTTGCATGTTTGAGGCTCTCTGGCATCAGCTCTCACTTTGTCCGTGATTTCTTGGCACGAGGCAGCGACCCCCTTGATCATTCCATAGTGCACAGGTTCTGGCCTCTCACCCCCGATGGTACTCGCTCTGCACTAGCGGTCACCCGCGCCCTTGAGGGCTTCGCTGGAGTTGTGCGCAGTCTCAACGCCCACCTTGCGGTTGCCCGTCGGGCCCTCCTGCAGGACGACCCCCGTTTCTGTGAGGCCAACCGAGCCCTTGTCCCCAGAGTCAACTACCTCGCCGAGGGCTTGCCCTTTGGGGCCACACCTGGGGCCATCTCTGAGGCTGTCCTCAAGGCTGTTGGAGTCCCGTGCATACCCCTCCGTTCTTTTCGGAGGAATGGCATCTTGGTCTGGGTCCTTGCTTTTGGTCAGGATCCTCCCTTGTTGGAGTTCCCCCTGCTCTCTGCGGGCCGTCCCTGCGAGGTACTCCTTGCCTTGGAGCCACCTACCTCCTCTCGTACCAAGACTGGCCGGCCTTCTGGACCACGGCAACGCCCAGGCCGCACTGCCCTTGCTGACACTCAGACCCCAGCTACCACCTCGGGTCCACCGAAGGCTGAGACCCCGTTGGCGGGACCAATCCAGGCACGCGTTGATGCCCTGGAGGCGCGACTTGGCGGCTTGGAAGCCAAGCAGGATTTTCTTGCTGATAAGGTTGAGACACAGTTCTCGCAGGTCTCTGCGCAGCTCTCTCGCATCCTGGGAGCAGTCTCCAAGCCCGGCCGCCTGCTCCCCTGAGCCGGCCCCTGCTTTCAAGGCCGCCCGACTGGGCGCTTAGCCTGACCTTGCTTTGGGGCCCCTGCGGCCCAGTTGGTTCTTCACAGCCCCCCCTTCGCCCGGGGGGTCTGTGCACCTGGTTCTTCCAAAGGGGAGCTCCCCTCCTTTGCCCTTATGCTCCATGGTCTTGCCATGGATACGGGGCCTTGTGTGGTCTTACTCCCCTTTGGCTTTTTGTGCTGTGGCGCAGCTTTGTCGGTACTTGGGGGCACTTGCGGTGGGGCCGCACTGTCCACCTTGTCTCTTTACGCTATGGGTGCTGCCTCCTGCCCCTCAGCTGGGCAGCTCCCACTCTCTTTACTCAGTTTTGCTTTGACGCTACCCTTGGCTTTCCTGGCGAAGGGCCTCTCACATTTCATTCGCACAATGTCGGCTCCTTCTTGGCACATCCGGACTTGCTTGACTGCTCTGCCGAGGTCCTAGGAGGCCCGCCTTTCGGCGGACAACATTCGCACGGCCCGTTTTCGGGCCCAGGAGGCAAACCGCCAACTCACCCCTGGTCCCCTCCTTCCTGCCCATCACGGCTGACGTCAATGGTGTCCGAAGAGTTGAGTGGGGGGGCCTCGCTGTCCTTTCTCAGGCGTGCGTTGTCTACGACTTTGATGTCTCTAAGGACGTTACCGGCCACCTTGGCTCCCTGCTGGCTACGGGTCGCGTCCAGGCATCTTGGGCTGTCTTTGGGAGGCTCCGCTTTCTCCTTATCAACTTCTATGGAGTTTCTGGGGCCTCCTCGGATGAGCCCACCCACCAGCACAACGATGAGCTGCTCACCAGGATACTGGATTTCGCTGCCCAATTCGTTCAGGACTCGTCTTTGCAGGTGACTTCCAAGCGGACCCCCTGTCCTATGCTTCGCTTGCGGACGCTTGCAGCACGGGGGCTTGGGTCGACCCTTTGGCCCCTATGGCCTGCGACGACACCCGTGCCCCTACTTTTTGCCGTGACAAGCACTGGACCCCTGAGGTCCCTACTACCGCTATTGACACGGTTTTCCTCAGTGAGCATGCGCTCCATCTCTTGGAACAGGCCTGCGTTATTCCGCTCTGTGGCTACCAGCACGCCTCTGTCTCGCTTACCTTCTCTGCTCCTACTGAGACCCCTCGTGCTGTTGCCTTTGCGTCCTTTGCCCCTCTGGACTTGACCGCCCTGGCTTCTCCTGCCCAGATAACTCAATGTGCGGAGGATCTGTGGCAGCAAAGCTACAGTCGCGACCTCACTGAGGCTAGCAACTCGGAGCAGGCCTAAGCCCTCTTTTCTGCCTTTGCACTTCGTGTGTTGGTTGACTCTG